CTTAAATTGTGTTTACCTCAAACTTCCCATCTTTGATTAACCTGCAAAATCTCCTAGACCCAGCCACATTACAACGCTCACCAATATTCACAAACAGGGTGTCTGGGGTGATTCTTGCTGGCTCAAGACCTGACAGAAAAAAAATTCAGATTCAATGTACAAGGACAAGAGATAAGCTAACAATAACAATGATAAAGTTGGGTGAAAACAATAGTGATGCGTTGATGATGATGAAAATGATGATGATTATGATGATGACAATGGCAATGATGATGCTGATGGTGATGACAGTGTTCTTACCAGACCAGGGCATTGCGGCATTGCTATACTTTTTCGGGAAATGTGGCACTATAATTAGCACAAGGGGTCCCAAGGGAACAAAGAAGGAAAAAATACGTATCACAGAAAGTATGTAAACATATGTACACATACATACATTTCCTTATAATATAAGCCAAAATTTAATTGTTTATTGCATCTTTAGGCAACACCCATTATTATCTATCAAAGAAAGTACGAGGTACTTACTTTAACTCAGACCTGTGAAAACCTTGAGTTAACTGTATCCAAAAATTGTGACCCTCTTTTCTCCCTCATGACCCCCTTGTAGCTTCTCTACAAGTCCTGTGGACCCCAGTGTATGAAATCCTGGTAAGAACACTGTGATGATGATGATGATGATGATGGTGATGATGATGATGATGATGATGATGTTGATGATGATGTTAATGATGGTGTTGGTGGGAAGGAGAACATAAACCTGATGAAACTCAAAATCCACAAACCTGAAAGATTCATTGCATTTGCAAAATGGTCTTCGGGCATTGGTCGTGGTTTAAACGGTCTTACAGCCTCAGCAATGGCCCTGAAAGAGAGAAGGCAAAGTTACCAAACATCTTGAATTTCAGAAAAAAAATATGGTTACAATTTTATTATTTGCACCAAGTATTAAAAAGTGGACTGCCACAGAACAACATAGCACACATTCCTTAAAAAGACCAAGCTCCCATCAATGTGGGCATGACCAATGGACCTTGTGATCACTTCATCCGAGTGATTATAAATAATCTGACACTGATTCTCCCCAAACAACCAAAGATTTTAAATAATAATACTCAGAACTCCTATTTTGCATCCATGAATTTAACATGTTTGTCTTACAAATTTGCCAAACAGGTTCTCAGTGTTTTTGGACACACAAGAAAAAAAATAACAGGCAGGAAACTACTGAGAGCATGCATGGAACTGGCTACTGATAAATGGGATATGTAATATGCATACATACTTAATGTGAGCAGGAGTTGTACCACAACAACCTCCAACAAGGTTCACCAGTCCATCTTTCGCAAAATTCTGCAACCAAGATAAGAGTTCTAATGTTGAAAAACAGTAACACAATAAGAGTGCCCTGACAGCAATAAAGAAAACTTGCTTTACAAACAAGGCTTGTTTAGGGATAGTGGGTTCACTGTCGAGGTTGTTTCCTAAAACATAGACTTCATCAAGCACTTTTTAGCCTGTTGAATTTTCAACCCTTTTGCAAAATTTAATATACAGAACTTTAGACCCTCTTTCGTAAAAGAGGAGGGGCCCTTTCCCCACCAAAAACAAAGTAGCTGGTCGCTGAAAACCGCACTGTTGTTGCTTGAAGCAGGACATTTATTGCAAGACAAAAAATAATTTCACCACACAATAATTATTTTAAAGGTGCAGTCTGACAATTTGCAGAGTAAAAAATTAAAGCTAAATTGTGTGTTAATTTTATTAACAAATATTATTTTTTTAATGTCCTGCCGGCACTGATAAGGTATTGAAAAAATACACTTTATAAGACAAAGAAATTATTTTATTTTACTTTCAATTGCTCAGCAGTTACTTCTGGGGTTTCATCATAGCCTCCAAAAGTGTTTGGTAGACCTGAAATTTAAGCAATAGATAGGAGTCATGTCTTAAAATCTCAACAGTTCCTAGATATAAGGACATACTAGGCATGCACCAGGGCATGTCACGGACATCCAGTTGTCTGGGACAAGTAAAGTTTCCTGCCAGTAGGCAACTTTTCATATTCAAGGGCCTATAGGCAAGTTGTATTCTAAGTTGAAGTCATTAACTGAGACAAGCATGCAGTTAGCTAGCCCAGGGCAAGCCAAAGATTTTGAGAGCTGCTTGTCCAATCTACCCCCTCCCCCTAAAATCAACATTGCATTTTAGGCCTGGTTCAGTCGCCAATATTTTCATAAGCCGAACCTAATACATTGAATCAAGTACACGAAAAGTTCAGAGTCTGAACCAATAATTTTATTAGCAATGCCTGTTTCGATTTGGAATGGCTTGGCCATTCTTCCCACCTAGCCCAGCCAGGAATTTCAATTTTAGATCAACTTTGGAAAGGCTTAGATTCAGACACCAACCTTCTCATGTACCAAACCAAATGCATGGTTCGGCTCTTGAAAAGTTTGGGGTCTGAACCAGGCCTTAGACCCTCAAGTACTTCTTTTATACAAACAACATTGATTTGCGGGTGGGGGGATTTACAGCGTTTAAACAGAAGTAAATGATTGAATGAATGAAAATTAATTATTGCTAAAAGCAGGCGTTTTAGACAAGTGTGTCAACTACTTTTGTCCCTGATTGCAGGGACAAAGGGATTGCGTGTGTTTTTCAAGCTCTTATGCATACAGATGGTAAAGCTCCTGTAGTAATGGATCTGTAGTTATGGATTAATGTACTTTACCTGCATTTGGATAGCAGAGTACATAAGCTGTTGTACACAGTCCCACTGCCTCTATGAATGGCCGCATTTCATTCGCACCTAATGCACAATTGAGACCAATGCTGTTGAGCAAACAGTAAATTAAGTGTTCAGTCAACAACAAAGAAAGGATCAATTCACACAACAGCACACTGACTTTGTGAACGTAAATTCAAGCCTCTCTATGGGTATTTTGATATTTTTTTTATTTATCTCCTTTCCTTTGCCGTCATCATGTTTCCTTGAGCTCATTAGTCATGGTTACCACAGCCAAAGGTTTCTGAAATTCCCTGACTTTTCCCTGACAAATGAAAATTTCCCAGTGTTCCAGATAAAGAGACGGTTCTCGGGTCAATGACCCGACAAAGAAGGCTTCCTAACCCGAGAGATGACATATAAGTGTTAAGTTAAATATAACAAAAAAAAGGAAAAACATTACCATGTGGTCTTGGTGATCCCTCAGATGGTCCTACATGACCCCTGCTTGAAAGAATTAACTAGAATGCTGATTTCCCTGACCATTTTTCCAAAATAAGTCCTGAAGATGGACTCAACCCTCCAGTCTCAGAGCCATCCTCTCCACCCATTTACTTATGTTTTCAGAAAGTAACATGCAGTGTACATGATTTGAAAGTTCCTCAAAGCATAACGTGGCAAAAAGATTGAAAAGTAAAAATTTATTCTAATAATACGTGATTCATATCCATAAAATGTACAAAAGAATTTTAAATGTTAAAAAACAATAAAAGTGGAGAGAAAAGAATAAAAATAATATGTAATCTTGAATTTCATTTTTCCCGCTCTCTTTTCCCTGACCATTTCCTGACCTGTGGCAGCCATGTTAGTTGCATTACATGTACCATGCAAAACAATAAATTCTCGATGTGCAACTTTGTTGAAAAACCAAAGATTTGACTGAAACTGCGCAACAAAATTAATAACCTCTGCAGATACCCATAAAGAGGCTGGAATTTGGTTTGAAAACTATCTAGATTTGCAAACAAACACTGACCTTGTGTTTGTGATAGAATATCTCCAATATGTACGGTGTTCCTACCTTAATGGTTTTGAGTGAGACACACTGATGACAAAAGCATCTGTCGTTTGACCAGAGAGGGTTCTTCCACTCTTGTCTACAATAGTGCCAGACACCTGCAGAAAAGAGAACACGTGTAATTTCTTTTTAATTTACATTCAGGTCAGGATGACAAAACTGAATTTTCTTTCCCTCCCAAATCATTTGCAGCTATAAATCACACTGATTTGTTATGCTCTAGTAATGCCATCCCCTGGAATTTTTTTTCCCCATCTTACATGCATCTTCTTAATTTTTAATGGTTAATGCGTAAAAGTAATATGCCAATCAGGGCTGCACCTTTGAACATTTAACACTTATTACTAGGAAGAAAATTGAACAGCTACACTGTACATGTACAATGTAGGAATTTTGTTATTCTATTTTCCTTGACCCCTAGCTGGCTCGCAGTTCTTACTGACGGCCCTGCAATATACCTATGTTGTGGTTCAATTTTACCCTTGGTTTAAATTTGATTTCCCTTCATTTCTGGGTATGGTAACATATGATAATGAGTTTAAAACCAAGGGAAACAAAATTTAAACCATAGATAAAATTGAACCACAACATATACATGCAATGTAAAGCATGTAAAGCACAGGCTTGTCATTTTAACTCTAGGGATGGACAGCTTTAATCTATTGATCAGAAGGAGTAAAAAATTGACTCTACAGCATGCAATATTTCTCGAGTCAACATTTTGTTGTTGAGGATGATTTAACAGTGAGTGTTGATCTCATATCAAATGACTTTGGATCATTGATAGGATATGCAAACAAAATAACTTAACACATCACAGCATGAGAACTGTTGTTACTTACAAATATTGGAACAGGTTTGTACTCTGATTCAAACAGTTTATCAATTGCAAACAATGCAGCCTAGAACGAAGGAAGATAATTTTCACTCAAATGTCATTAACGCTATGTACAGATGTGTTACCCAAAACAAAATTATTACAGAACAAATATTTATTATTAGTACATGTGGAGGTGAACCCTCTATGATTGGAAACCCCCTTGGAGAGGAAAATGTGTCAGTCTCTATAATTTACAATGTACATTTTAATTTCTACTATTTGTTTACCAGTCTGCTTGGAGCCATAAAAGCATTTTTTCAGCTGAATACGGTTTTGCGGCACAGGATTTGAAAACAAGTCCTATCTGGTCACCCAGGACTAGTAGATTTTCTTAAAATAATGACAAGCTGGAGTTCAAGTTAATTTGTTTTTCCATAGTTATAAAAATAATGTGGAATGGTTACATTTTGTGTGTGTATAAAAACCCATTAGACTCCTTTGCTATCTGTTTTTGTTAGCTTTTTTGGACCTGACTGTGCACAACATTCAATGGCATTCTTATCATTTTGAACTTACTGACCAATAGAAACATCACTTTAGGTTTATATTTAGTCACAATTTGTGAACAAAAATCAAAGGATTGTGCACGGTCAGCGAGCTTCCAACATAAACTACAGCACTGTTGTTTTCAACTTTGATGTTTGTATGCTGTCATGTCTACTAACTATGGTTTTTCTAGAGCTGCAGTGGTAACTGAAACACCCAAGTTTTTTTAGGCCAATACCTGGTATTAAACAATACAAATATCAAACAAATGCTTAGTTTAGCATTAATATTTTATTTAACCAAGTGAACATATCTCTTCAAACCTTAGCATTTGCTGTGTCAAATATTGTTTCAACCATGAGAATGTCAGAACCACCATCTAGAAGCCCTCTGCCTTGCTCAGCGTAAGCCTCCACTAACTCATCAAAGGCTATTAGGTGTAAACAAAAGACATTGATAAATTCACGTATAAAAATGCAGTGCTCCAGGCTTAAAATTTTCAAAGTTGCCATTTGGTTAGCTTAAATCATGAAATCTTCCCCAAGACATGAAATAATGTTAAAAAATCTCAATTGAATTTAGAGGTGCATGCTGCATCTGCTTTCAAGGATTAATACCTGGACAACCAGGGTGAAAGAGGCCCATAAAATTAATATTTCACGGTTGATCTCACTTTAAGTTTAGAAAATATATAAACCATAACTAATGAAAACACTGGTGTGTGGTGAGGGCTGTGTGATAGCAGCACCCGGTGGCCCCAGAGTGGCACCTATTAAATTACTTTGGCTTTTGGACAACTAGGAAATCTCAGTTTTTACATAGAAATCCCTAGCCTCCAACGTAGGCTTTTTTTTTCGTTCCTCCCCACAATCACCTGCTCAACCGAGAACAACATTCCTCTCCCAAACTTAGCCAATCACATTGTACCTTCCAAATTCTAGAAAGGTTGACCTTGTCCACAGGGTAACCTGCTAGTAACTCGATCTGCATGAAACACTCTGAAAGCTTTATGACCTCTCATAAACGTCAGGGGGTGGTAAATGTTAGACTTAGAGCGGCAAAAGTAAGATTTAGTCAGATTTTAGAACACCAAGTGCATTGCATAACCTTTGCTAAGGAAAGAAAAAAAAGAAAAAGGTAACTCTAGGGTCATGTTTTTATACTACCACAAGCTTATCACAAGTTGTGTTCAGCCTGCCAACACTTTATTTCAAAAGGGTTGATTGGTCACTTACTGTACCACACCAATAAAACAATGGGAAAGGAACGTGTTCTCAGTTGAGCACGCTCCCATAAAAACGTCTGCAAGGGAGGCTAAAAAATCTTAAGCCGAGCACCTGGATTTCACAGGTTCAGAGCACTGGGCTTCCTTCAATTTTTCTTAGGGCATAGTCTTGATGGCTGATGATCACTGTGCACAGGTCACACATTTAGTGACTGGCTGCAAAAAATGGTTGAATTACAATGAATCAAGACTCACTGATATTTCTGTATCCAGGATTTTCCACACTGGGTGAGATAGACAGTGTCCTGTTTGTTGGTCCCATGGCTCCTGCTACATATCGTTTAACACCTAAAAAAGTACAATAATAGGATTGAGTTATGCAGATAATAAACATCGATACATACATAAGATGCCTTTCGTTGGACCTGCAAATAACTCTCCAGGTTATGGAGAAACTGTAAACTGTACCAGGGATTGAAATAATGGCTGGTCAACGGACAATGTCCGGACTGATTGGGGAGTTGACCAGTCAACCTTCCGTTTTGCCAGTCATGTTGACCGGTCACATTTGATCGTATTGAAAATGAAATAAATTTAAATTTCCATGCTGTTCAGTTGTTATCAGTATGTAGCAAGTCGCTGTGTATCGTGGAACTTTCATCTAAAATCCTGGGTGAAATGCAACTATAGAACTGTTGTTTGCATTACTCGCACATTGAAACAGACATCGGAGTTCACACACCAGAAATCATTATATTTGGAGGTGCCAGACAAATTAAATGTGTACATGATAATGATATGTGTTACGGGTTAGTCTTACAGATAGTGTACCCATTAATACAGATAAGCTTATATTCATTTCTCCTCTGTAAGTTATTTTTATTGTTGACAATGAGTGCTTTAGAGTGCTATAAGCTCTAAGCAACAACTTTTTTGGTAATATATAACACCAGTTTTGGTTCAAGGGACCCTGTTTTAAAGAGTTATTTATCTGATAAATTTGACCGGCCAGAAATGATACGTCACCGAGCTAAAATGAATTTGGCCGGTCATCGTGTCCGGAGACTCTCCAGAAATTATTTCGAGCCCTGTATAAACAATCTTTCTTTCGCTTTTGGGCCAAGCTGTGGAATGAGATACCCTGTCACATCCTACATCTCCCCAAGAATATATAACTTAAAAAAAAAAACACTCTGCAAATTACTTTTTGATATTTTGAATGCAGAGGATGACTGTATTGATACACCCAGGTTCATTAAAAAGGTAAAATTAGCCAAAACATATTGAATAATAAATTCTTGCTTATTAGTTTCTACTTTTACGATTTATTTGTTCAATTCTTTCTTCTTTACTGTGTTATCTAGACTTCATGAATCCATATTACAATTTTTATTTAATTTATTTGCAAACTGTAAACTTTCCTTTATAGTTAGCCTCAGTCTTAATAATTTCATACTTTGCACATATTGCCCTGCCTCAAATAGCCCTGCTAGCTGCGGGCAAAGCATCTGTAATATTATCTGTTTATTAATAAATTCTGTTGTTGTTGTTATGGAGTCTCAATCTGATCACTTCTTCACGCAACACCACCTGGGGCATCGATTTCAAGACCTGGGAAGCTAGGGGCCAAAAATGGCTGCCAGAAATTTGAAAGAACTTTATGAGGTCAGCAATGTGAATGTATTAGAGACAAATTTTGGTAGACAACAAATACAAATCTCTACTAATGGTTATTTGATATGACATAAAAATTTTCTGCCTTTTAAATCATTACTTTGCTCCCAGTGTGGTACACCCATATTGAGGAAAATGTGAAAAATTTTCATTCACTTACCTGTGGCTTCAGTCACTTCTTTAGCAGCCCTTTTTGCAATTTCAGCAGATGTCTTGTTTAGCCTATAAACCTAATGAACATAGAGGATAATAATAAATAAATGTTGGAGCTTTCTTAAATCTTTTCTCTCCCAGTAATGTCCACAGTCAATATTCAAAAAAAATTAATTTCAAAAATTAAACCTTCAACTCCACTGCTAAATCAAAATAAACATTGTTAGAAGTATAAACAAGTTAAAAAGGTATTAACTACTAAGCAAGTTATCCTCATCAGTAACATGTAGAGAGTGTATGGACAGCAGTATGGAGAAAACTGTACTACTGGTAAATTAATTTGCTCACTAACAGAAAATGAGACAAATAGAGCTTCAAAAAGTATTGCATAAACCAGGAATCATAAAATTATTTACAGAAAATTGTAGCTAGGGGCAGGAACTTCCATGGAAAGGTCGATTGGGTGAAGAACGTGTTCCATTTGACACAAGTTCCATTTGTTTATGCTGTTGTCACCAAAATTCAAGATGGTGGCACAGATATCACCGTCAACAGCCTGCAAGAGCTGCGGGTTCCTTGCAAAAACTTGTAAATGGAACATGCTTTTCCAACAGGAAAACAGGACAATTCTACTTATTCCTAGGAACTTTCCAGTGGAACGCATGGAAAACGTGTTCCATTAACATGCCAACCGGAAGTTCCAGAATTTCTGGGTAAATGGAAAGTGCCCTAGGTCTCACCACTCACCAAGTGTTCAGTTCCATAATCTGCCTGTGCAATACTGGTTCCACTGAATGTATTTGTTTCAATGATGTCAGATCCTGCTTCTAGGTATCCCTACCCACGAATGACGAAATACCATGAATAAAAGTGATTTTCAGGAGATAAATAGGTAGAACAAGCTAGCTTTCAACCTTAATCAGTGACAACTAAATTATCTGAATGTTTTCTTTGTACAGTGGAAGCTCTCGTAAGTGAACACCCTCGGGATGCAAAAAAGATGTCTGTAACTGGAGCGGGTCACCTACAGGAATGTCAACAGACTTGAGAAAAATGGGGTTTGCTGAAGAGCTGTCTGCTCGCGAGAGTATCCTTTAGGAGAGCTTCCACTATAGTTCTTGGGATACAATGTAACATTTTCATACAAATCTTTTTTAATACCTTACTAGTGATTTTTCACCAGTAAGATTCTTATAAGTTGCTATTATTGTCTATAAACAACTTGCAGTATATCACTTGGTACTTTTTTATGTTATATCTCCAATAAGGCCCTTAAGGGGGTTACACACGTCCCTAGTCTGAATTTCACAACCTGCATTTCACATAATTGAGGAGGAAGCCATGTTGCTGTGCATATTTTACTATTGTATTTGCACTTTTCTCTGTCACTGNGTAAATGGAAAGTGCCCTAGGTCTCACCACTCACCAAGTGTTCAGTTCCATAATCTGCCTGTGCAATACTGGTTCCACTGAATGTATTTGTTTCAATGATGTCAGATCCTGCTTCTAGGTATCCCTACCCACGAATGACGAAATACCATGAATAAAAGTGATTTTCAGGAGATAAATAGGTAGAACAAGCTAGCTTTCAACCTTAATCAGTGACAACTAAATTATCTGAATGTTTTCTTTGTACAGTGGAAGCTCTCGTAAGTGAACACCCTCGGGATGCAAAAAAGATGTCTGTAACTGGAGCGGGTCACCTACAGGAATGTCAACAGACTTGAGAAAAATGGGGTTTGCTGAAGAGCTGTCTGCTCGCGAGAGTATCCTTTAGGAGAGCTTCCACTATAGTTCTTGGGATACAATGTAACATTTTCATACAAATCTTTTTTAATACCTTACTAGTGATTTTTCACCAGTAAGATTCTTATAAGTTGCTATTATTGTCTATAAACAACTTGCAGTATATCACTTGGTACTTTTTTATGTTATATCTCCAATAAGGCCCTTAAGGGGGTTACACACGTCCCTAGTCTGAATTTCACAACCTGCATTTCACATAATTGAGGAGGAAGCCATGTTGCTGTGCATATTTTACTATTGTATTTGCACTTTTCTCTGTCACTGTTGCAGTTTCAACCCATCTTTGTGTCATTTGTCGTCATTTCTGCTGTCCTATGTTGCTGTTTCAATGCTATGTCGTTTGTCAGAATTTTACCCTTATAAAGGTCTCTCGATATATAGAGGATATTACATGGCCACGCGGAGATACGAAATTTCTCTTTGAGTGTTGAAAAATATTTCATGAGTGAGCACAGCAAATGAGAGAACTATTTTGTCAACACGAGAAGAGAAATTTCGTATCTCCAAGCCGCCATGTAATGTTCTATTTATTAATTAAACACCAATGAACTACCAAACCATTTCACTTTAATAGTTTTTTGGTGTGAAAGGCACGATTTATTATTGTAGTCATAGCAACGGTGATATTTTCACGTGGTAAGATAACATGTTATTTTCACATGTGAAGATATCAAGTTTTCGCGTGAAAGCTCACCTGGTATTTTATTGGTGTTTATATAATAAAAGCATTTATTATATGGAGGAGAGTGTTTTACTGGGAACTAAACCACTCGTAGATTCCATACGCCACTTCATCCGGGACCCGAGTGGCGTATTTTCCGTATGTCACCTTTGTGAGTGTCGTATCGTTCAATGACGTCACGATTCCCGCCTTTTGCTTTTGTTGAATTGTTTTCTCCATATAATAAAAAGAACATTACACGTTGGCTCGAAGATATGAATTTTATGTTCTCGTGGCAAGAACAATATCTCACCCGTTCGCTTCGCTCACTCGTGAGATATTGTTCTTGCCACTCGAACATAAAATTCATATCTTCTCGCCACCATGTAATATCCTCTATGTATCCTAGAGTATTTTTAACACTTAAATTCAGTGCTCATTATCATTACAAGTAAAGCAAAATGTCTTAATTTGATTAACCAAAGAATGTTGACAAATGAAAAAAAGTTTTAAAAAAATAACCATAAATTCTAAACAAGTTTACCTTGTGAATTTCTTCAATGATATGAGGTTGAGTTAAACTGAGGAAGTCATTATTTCCTTTCAAGTTGTGTGAATGATTTTTAAATTCTTCACCTAAAAAAGAGTGCATTTTGTAAACAATAATTGGTCATATTAACGAATTTTAATACTTTGACTGTAAAAATATGCGTATGAATGAAACAATAACATAAAGCCGTGAAGTGGTTTTACTGAATAATATCAATTGCGTGACAAATCAAATTCAATATATGAAGTTGCACAAAATTTGTAACAGAAAAAACGTAAAATAAAAAAAACGACAGAGTTATAACATGTAAAAAATGGCACATTAGTATTAAGATGCCAGGCATTGACGAGACAAGTTGCGAAATCTGCTGTCATACTGCGTTACACAACAGTGAAGTACCTTAAGTAATTTTACATGGCATACTACAAATAAAATTTGTCAATTTACCTCGAAAATCTTCTTCTTCCAAACGATAACTTTGAATCATTGTCCCCATACCACCATCGAGAATCATTATCCTTTTCTTTAAAGTCGCTTCCAACTCTGCCGACACATCTAACGTAAGAGCACAGATTTTGGTAAATAAGCTTAATCGTCTATGTAATGGTCGATCTAGATCTAGACCTACGGCTAGGCAGACTGTGAATGAGTGTCAATAAGTTTCCAAGGAAAGATATCACTGACAAGCCTATTGCAATTTTAGTCTGAGGTCGTCTGAGTAAGTTCCCCGAAAAAAAAATACTTGTCCAAGACCATAGAACGCAGTCAAATATTTACAAAAAAATAAACCCCTACGCCGGCGTGTGCAAAAGTAAGATGGTAAGATGCACTGTGCATTTCTAGCTAGCTCACCTATTTGCACTTCTGAGGGTGCGTTTGCTTTTACAGTAGGAGCCATCTTGGAGGATGAAGAAATGCTATTGTTTATAACCAAAAATGAAAACCTTAGAGACCGTGATAGTGATTTCTCGATGAACCTTAGCACATGCATTCACCGTCTGACCGCCCGCCATTATAAAGTGAGATAAAAAATTAGGAGTCTGGGAACGAAAATTATGCAACATGTTGTACTTTCTTAAAATTATTCTGATTGGTTTATTTTTCAGCAATTTCGCTGCCTTTCGTGACTCGACCAATGGTAATCGGCGTTCTAAAATCAGGTCCCGTGCCTGGGAATTCACTTTTACGCAATCAATGCGCCTGAGTTCTGTTTGAGCAGCGGTGAAAAGATTACTCCCCAGTCCTCCCTCCAAAACAAAAACAATTCTTAAAATGGCGGATGACACGCAGGCAAAGGTTAGTTGAAGATTTCCGCCGTTATCTTGACATTCATGGAGAAGGAATTGCAAAAGTACCGTGCTCAGAAAGCTAAAGAATACAAAGAGAGCAGATGGAGTGTATGGAGACCTACGTTTTCATTTGGGACAAAGATTTTCAGCAATTTTGTGACAGAACAAAATGAACGTAGTTTACACTGGTTGATATTATTCTTAAAACTTCTCTTCTGGTTAGTACTCTGGGGTTTCTTCGTTCAAATTGAGTTTGGAACCGTGTTTTTCATCCTTTCAATGTTTTATTGGGTGTATGTAAGTATGCAAGCAGGATCAAGGAAGCCTTGGGAACCCAGTCCTTATTCTGTGTTTAATGAAAACTGTGAAGCTATTGATGGAACTCTTAATGCGGAACAGTTTGAACGAGAACTTAAGTTCGGAGCGGGAGCCGTTTCAGGAAATTCAAAATAATATTTGCTTTAGTCAGTAGGGATGATATTAAAATGAGAAAACATGTCAAAGTGCCTGATAGCTGGACCAGAATTCAGCCAAAACATCAAGCCTGCAATCTGCCCAGTCTATGTACCTTACCATACTTATGCATGGATGTGGTAGGCTTGTGGTAAGGACAGGCCTTCAGGTCTTCACTGATGATGACTTGCCTACAACTTGAGCTACAGAAGTTGACAAAGGGACACAAGAAAGTGCGAACAAGTCTGCCAGACTGCAAAGGACTTGAATTCAGAAAGTCTACCATTTCACCTCAGTAATGGCTGCACAGACAACTGTTTGGACCTCATTAGGAGACATAAGCATGTCATAGCCTCAGACAAAATGGTCTCACATGTGATCACATGCTCAACCATTTACCTGTTGCCACAGGTACAAAATCTGTGCTAATGTGTCCTAAACAGAAAACAGAATTTCACTTTTTCAACTTAAGCCGCAATCATTGACAAAATAGTTGAGACACTTTTGTCAAATGGGGTAACTTCGAGAACTAAACAATCCACCCTCACTTGCCCTCCCTTCCACTCAGAGTACTATTTGTAGCTTGAATGGTGGCACAACATTGTGTGCCGTGGTTGGGAAGCAAAAGGTTTTTTCCCCTTTTTAATTTGGCCCTTTCTCTGAAATGCATTATGCCCTTTAGGGTAAAGCTTACTTGAGTCAGCTACATTTGTTTCCAATTTTGGTGTCATTTTAGAAATGTTTGTGATTTTCTAGTGCTGGAAAGTTATTACAGGAAGTAGCAGTGTAAAGTGAAGTTGGAGGAAAAGCAACTCATAAAGCAACTTAATCAGAAAATCAGCTTAATCAGCTTTTTCTTGGACATCAGTGCTCAAATTTTGCTTGCTTATAGCTTTGCATCCTTATATAAGGGTGCACTCCATTTCGATGGTCCGGATCAGAATCAGTGACCCATAAAGATCACTCAAATAATGATAATCAAATGAACCAATGAATCCCCCACCCCCCCCCCCACCCCAGAGCACCCCTTTTATTCCTTTAATGTGCTTTGATCTGAATGTTCTGGGTTTACTGATCCTTATCTGGATCATGCCAATGGAAATTTTAAGGAGGAAAGAGTAACGCAGTTAGTTAGTTCACTGCCTTCTGTATGGGAGGTCTTGATTTTGATTCCCTCGTGTGACCACAAATCCTTCTTTTCACCTCTTTCCTTTCCGTGTAGTTGTACATTGTAAGTAGCTTTAAATACCCATAACATTGAGCACTGATTGACAGAGGGGCAGGGGGAGTAAAATGAGCACACCATCGACCTCAGGTTTGTTAGTCAGATGACAATTTCAACCCACCAAAATAAAATAAAGACTCTTTACCCTTTTTTTTATTTTTTATGGAATGCAGCCCTCGCTTGATGGTTTAGGTTTAGTTAGATGACTTGGCTGAGCCTTTGCTCATCCAGCAAATGAGACATGCTGCAAAGAAAAGGGCAGGTTGGCAGAATTGATCCAATTATCTGCTACAAGCAAACAGATCGGAGGCTCAGGTAAAAAAAAAACAAAGTTAAAGGGATCAGCACATTTTCAACAAACTTTATTGTTTAACATAAATAAACTGATGATTGTCTATATTTATCTCAGTGTCTGAGTTTTCTTCCATTCCATAGTATTATTTGGAGGATTTAACTATCAGTACTATCAGAAACTCATATGAGTTTCTGGTACTATGGAATGACCTTTGCATTAAAAAAAAATTTGACTGTAATGAAAGATATTCCCCCTTGAACTGCAAGTTCTCCAAAACCAACTGTAAAATTGTGTTGTTGTTGCATGCACACACAGACTTTTACATAACGTGTCATCGTTGAGTTTAATTTATCACTCAAAAGATATCTTTGGTGAATGAGAAGCACGAACAAAGGTCACGTGCTGTGAGCATAACAAGCTACACTTAATAATCTACTTCTTTAAGAAAAGAGTAATATTTTCAAAAAACAGGGGCAGATAAATGAGAACTCTTTCTAGCTGACAGAGTGAACCAAAGAAACAAGGCTAAAATTTTCCCTCCATTGAACCTATCACTTTAAATGTCATTTTTTATCAAAAGTCTCTCAGTGGTGCCTGGTTAATTTTTCTTTGTTCTCTCAAAATGGGAGCACTTGCAGAATAAGGTCACATGATGCAAAAATCTCCAAGCTGGATGGCAAGTGATGCGGAGGGGCCAGAAAAACAAAGAGATAACATCATTCAAAAAGCTAAAATCCTTTGTTTTCAAGGTCACACTGCGTCGTTTGCCATCCAGCAAGGTATTTTTTGTACCATGTGACCGTACGTATTCTGGATCTATTCTGGAAAGGGCCCACAGGATAGCCTGTGTAAACGGGGGGGGGGGGG